CATTTCAACAGAATTTGCCTTTACTTTGGGGAGCATTTTTATCACAGCTGTTTAAAAAGTCTTGGTTAGATTATTCAAACATCTGTGTCACCTCAGCACTGGCATTGGTTGATTAACTTTTCCCATGCAAGTTCAAATTTTCCTGGTTCTTCATTTTGGTTCATATCTGGGATATTTTGAATATTGTTATGAGACTCTACATCTTGTTTCAATCCAGTGGAGAATGTTCATATTTTTGTTTTAGCAGACAATCAACCAGGTTGGGTTCAGGCAGCAAATTCCAACTACCCTTCTGTGGGTTGTGCTTTCAACATCAGTTCCATTTTCAAAACCTAGTCAGAAGAGTCCTCTGTGTGTGCATCCAGCCTGGGACTTGGGCAGTGGTCTGTCCCTTAGTTCAGTTCTGAAAGTCTTTGGTATGTTGTTTAGAATCAGATGCACACATGCACAGCTTGGGTTATCCTGAAGTCCATAAATGACTTAAAGGGGTTGCTTTCCTGAGCTCCCTTTCCCTTTGTTTTCTCTTTTGTGCCTCCTGGTTCCTTGGGCCCACCCTTCCTGGGCCTCTGGCCAGAAAGCTGGGGCTTTAGTTACCACACTCTGCCAAGAATTTTCGGAACTGCACTCAGATCTGGGGCCAAGTAGCAGGAAGGCAAAGACAGAAAATAAGTAACCAAAATTGCACCCCATCCCCTTGGGACTACAGCTCCTCTGATCAGAGAGGAAGGTTCCCCTCTCTCAGTTTTAGGTGCTTGAAGGGCCTACTGCTGCCACTGTCCCTACCACCATCACTGTGGGATTGCCTGGGGGCTGGGGCATGAGGGAACAACTCTTGGGATTTCCCCCTCTGTCTGAGCCTTGGAAGCCCTTTTCCCATCCCAGAGCTTTAACCAGAGGTCTTCTCCTGAAGCTGTTTGTGCCTTAGTGTCCATTGCTGAGGTTTGGGGTACCTTGAGTCTAAGACATGGGACACTGAAGGGAAAATAGGAAATTAACTGCCACTTTAGTAATACATTGAATTCTGGTATTCTTCCCCTATCTGTCTGCTACTATTTATGTCTCAGAGTCCTCAACTGCTACTAAATGAATTCTGAATGGGCCTTTAGCTGCACTGAGAGATAGGCTGAGTGTGCTCACTCCATCTTAACTGGAACTGGAATCTTTTTTCTTACTTTTAAGTACCTACACTAACAGAAAGAAAGTCAAATAGGGATTAACTGCAAAGTTATCCTGCTAAAGTTCTAAAACGTTCTTGGCAATGTGGTATGCCCAACACTTTGTAAATTCTCTCCAAATAAAATAGTAAAGACCTATTTTATTTGAATAGTAAAGACCTCTGCCCAGCTCTTCCCTGGTACCATTCCCTTTTAGGCTTGATGCAAAGCATGAGATAGCAAAACGACTGGCCTCTTGCAAGTATTCCACGAGAGCATGCATAAGGCAGAACTAGGTGTGGAAGCTGGTAGGTGTTGTCGGGAAAACTGAAGGCTAAGTAAACTGAAAACCAGTCATAATTTGAGGCTGACTCTGAATCAACTTGCTCTATCCTCCACTAAGAGGGAGTCAGCGGAAAAATGTCTGAATTCTCATTCTTTGCCAGCCTTCACTGAGAACCATGTACAAACCTCGAGCCTTACTGCCAGGGTCCATAGTTATTTGAAGATTAAGCCCAAGATCTTTTCATAACTCCAGGGGAGATGGAGGCTGAGGACCAAAATCCCCTTGAACATTGTTAGCTGTACATTGAGGTTTTATGTACTTTTCTATACATTTGCTATATTTTACATTTTTAATACAATGCCCAGCTAGTGAGTTACTGTAAAATGGATACCTATATAACCCCCTTCAGGTCACTAAAAAGGATATATCAACACACTAGAAGCCCCCCTGTGCCCATCCCTCAACATACCCCCTTGAACACCACCATCTAGTTATTATAGAATTCAATTCCTTGCTTTTAATACTGAATTATGTATCTAAGCAAATATGGTTTAATTTCATTTGTTTTTGAACTTTATATAAAAGGATAAACACAGTATGTACTGTTTTGTCTGACTTCTTTTGTCCAACAATACGTCTTTAAGATTTATCCATGTTGTTGCATCTGGCTATGGTTTGCTCATTTTTACTGTTCCCTATGAATATAATTTGCATATTCATTCTACTGTTGTTAGGTATTTGGATTGTTTTTGGTTTTTGACAATTATGAACAATGTTCTTATAAACATTCTTATACACATATCTTGCATATATATGTCCTGTTATGTATAAGCATCCATTTCTGCAGATAATATACCTAGAGGAGGAACTGCTAAGTCACCAGGTATGTGTATATCCAAATTTACCTAGATACTGCCATAGTTTATTCCACAGTGATTGTACCAAATTATGCTAAAACAAGTAAAAATCAGAGTTTTCACTGCACCACATCCTTCTCAACATTGGAATTGTCAAGCTTTTCAAGTTTTGCCATTTGGTAGATGTGTATTGATTTCTCATTGGGATTCTAATTTGCATTTCACTGAGTACTAACCCAATCAAACACCTTTTCAGAGGTTTATTGGCCATTTGGATTTCCTCTTTTGTGAAATGCCTATTCAAGTCTTGCTCATTTCTGTAATGGGTTGCTCCTTTATTCCTATTGATTTCTGTCATTCTTTGTTCTGGAAACAAGCCTTTTGTTTATTTGTGCTGTAAGATCTTTTTACACTCTGGATTTCCTTTCACTCTCTCTCACTTCTTCTTTTTTTTTTTTTTTTTTCAGAGACAGGGCCTCACTCTGTCACCTAGGCTGCAGTGCAGTGGTGCAATCACAGCTCATTGCAGCCTCTAACTCCTGGGCTCAGGTGATCCTCCTGCTCAGCATCCTGAGTACCTCAGACTACAGGCACACACCACCATGCCCTCACTATTTAAAAAAAAAGTTGTAGAGTTGGGGTCTCACTGTGTTACCCAAGCTGGTCACAAATTCCTGGCCTCAAACTGTCCTCCTGCCTCAGCCTCCCAAAGTGCTGAGATTACAGGTGTGAGCCACTATGCCCATCCAGCCTGCCTTTTCACTCTCTTAATAGGGTCTTTTGATTAATAGAAGTTTTTAACCTTTATGTAATAAAATGACCAATCTTTTACTACACAAATAGACACAAGTTTTGGATCAATTTAAGAACTCTTTCTGTCTGTCCATTCTACCTTAAAGTGACTTCTCCTGCCTCAGCATTTTGGTGGGAAACACACAAGGTATGAGATAGAAAGATGCTAAGGGAGAGAGTACGGGCTCTAGAGTTAGACAGAGATGAATGGCCCAGAACAGGTTACTTCATGTCTTTGAGCATTAGCTTCTTTATCTATAATAAAGATATCAAAGCTATTGTAAGGAGATCTAGTATTTCATAGCACAGCAGAGTGATTACAGTCAACAAAAATTTATTGTATATTTTGAAATAATTAAAAGTATAATTGAAATGTCTGTAACACAAATAAGCTGTAAATGCTTCAGGTAATGGATACCCCATTTACCCTGGTGTGATTATTACTCGTATGCCTGTATCAAAACATCTCATGTACCTTATAAATATATACACCCACTATGTACCCAAAAACATTAAAAATTAAAAAAATTAAAAATTAAAAGCGATTGTGAGAGATAGCTGAGAGGTGTATAAAGCACTCAGCACAGTGTTGGCACACAGTAAAATAGGCAGGCCCTCAGTAAATAGTGGTGGCTGTGATCATATTCTCTGAATGTCTTTCCTCTTGTCCACTCTACATCAACTGCTGTACCTCATGGCTGTTTTGTGAATCATCAATCTATCATATCAAAGGACGGCAAAATGAATTAACTGCCCTCAACAGGCCAGCAGTCTCCCTGGCATTCATGGGCGGTACCCATGGTACAAGGCCCACATGACTTTACCTAAAAACACAGAGACACTCTTCCCTCAAAGTCATGTCATTCTGAGGCTCCCATAGGGACCCAATGGCAGCAAGCTGAAGAATCAAAGTAGTCTCTTCCCACTTCCTGTCAACAGGTACAGTGGTGTGGAACAGGTAAACTGCCCCAGACATGGGAGAGCCAGGCTCCATTGGGTCTGGGTGAATTTGGGGCAGGTGTGCTGATCTTTGTGTCCTGCACTGTAAACAGGGAAGAGAAGGAGTGTGTCTACCTACATGCATTTTGGCATGAGTGCACAGTACAGTGTGGTACTCCTCTCCTGGAAGAGGTCTGTATTTGAGTATAAGGGGTATGTGTGTAAACGTGCAATGCAGTGTATGTCCTCCGGAAACTGGGATGCTCTCACCAGCCCAGCATTCTAGTGGAGAGGCCTGATAGTTATCTGCTCCAGCATTCCCACAGCTTGGGGTCTTTCAATGCCCTCTGCTCCACCTTCTGAGACAGGATATATGCACAGAAAACAGACATCCTTTTACATGACTCTTGACAACTCTGAATGAAGAGGGAGCATCTACTGCAACTCCTCTGTGCACACTTTTTTTTTTGAGGCAGAGTTTTGCTCTTGTTGCCCAGGCTGGAGTGCAATCTCATGATCTCGGCTCATCGCAACCTCAGTCTCCCAGGTTCAAGCGATTCTTCTGCCTCAGCCTCCCTAGTAGCTGGGATTACAGGTATGTGCCACCACGCCCAGCTAATTTTGTATTTTCATTAGAGACAGGGTTTCTCTATGTTGGTCAGCGTGGTCTCGAACTCCCGACCTCAGGTGATCTGCCCACCTCGGCCTCCCAAAGTGCTGGGATTACAGGCATGAGCCACCGCGCCCAGCCAGTTCCTCTCTGCACACTTTTAAAGTAACTGGAAAAGTTCTCTGGATGTGTCCCTCTTCTGCTTCCCTGACCATAAAGTCTCTAGAAAGGCTTCTTGAGACTTCCCCCAATTCTGGGGTATTCCATTGCCCTCCCCAGCAAACCCATAATTGATTAGGCTTCACAAAAAATATGGCTAATATTGAAGGCCAAAAAGATGATAGAGGGGGAAGAGTTGGTACCTGAGCCTAGTGCTTGTCCAGCGGAGTCAAAGGAAAGAACCACTGAATCTGCAACACAAGAGGACAAGTTCATTTCTTTCTCCTTCTTAAAGTAAAAAAGCAAGCTCCCACTGGTTCTGCCCAAACCCTCCCTCAAAGGAGTCAACTGGAAGGGAACTCAGTTGCATAGCCCAGCCTCCCAGGCCCATGCCCACCCATCACTGGGCCAAGAGACCCCGCCCAGACCAGTACCCCTTGCCTCCTGCCAGAAGGAGAGACGTCTCAGGGCAGGGAGCAGGCCCCAAATTCTTTAGGGGCATGTCTTGCCAGATTAGGGGACAAATTTACTTCTTTTTCCTTCTTCTAGTGAAAATGGAATTAAAACAAAGCAAAATAAAACTTCCTTCCTGAATCTAGTTAAAGGCACTAACATTTCCCCTTTGATCTCTCCATTTCTTCTATTTATATACTCAATTGTTTGTTGTTTCTTCCCCAAAAAAGGCTTAAAGTGGCCTATTGAAATTTACAGTATACACTAGAATTTCAAAATGAAGACGTCAAAGAAAGGAAAAACACTATATAGTGGGGGAAATGTTAGTGCAGAAAATGCATGCCATGAGTACCTATGCAAATACCGTAGGCAGAATCAGGGCCTGAGCCTCCAAACAGCCAAAGAAAAAAGAAAATGAACAGTTACAAGACTCAGTACCCACAGGGCATTCATTCATTCATTCGTTCATTCAAATGTCCAATAAATATGCATTGGGCATCTACTATGTGCAAGATACTATACTATGACAGAGATACAGCAGCAAACAGAAAAAGCATGGTCTCCATCCTTATGGATCTTTCTGCTATCAGTCTGGGAGAAAAAAATGTTACCAAAGAACAAACTATTTAACTAGAAACTGATAAAAGAAAAAAAGGAAGTATTATGAAAGTTTATGTTAGGAACTGGACTGAATACAGGAGGGGAGTGGGTGCTGGATAGGGAAGACAACTCTGAAGAAGTGACGCTTGACCTCATAGCTGAAGGATAAGTGAGGGTCAAACCCAACAAGAATGGAATGGCACATTCAAGGCAGAGGGAAGGCCATGTGTGAAGAACTGAGGCAAAATGGAGTCTGGTGCTCCAGAGCAACTGAAAGACCAAAACATAAAAGCAAATACTGTACGGTGATCAGAGAGAACTTCCTCTTGTGGGCCTTAGAAAGAGATGCCGGCCAGCTGCAGTGGCTCAAGCCTGTAATCCCAGCACTTTGGGAGGCTGAGGCGGGCGGATCATGAGGTCAAGAGATCAAGACCATCCTGGTCAACATGGTGAAACCAGTCTCTACTAAAAATACAAAAAAAAAAAAAAAATTAGCTGGGCGTGGTGGCACATGCCTGTAGTCCCAGCTACTCGGGAGGCTGAGGCAGGAGAAGCACTTGAACCTGGGAGGCGGAGGTTAGTGAGCTGAGATCACGCCACTGGACTCCAGCCTGGTGACAGAGCAAGACTCCATGTCAAATAAAAAAAAGAAAAAAATACAGACACTGTATGATGTTGAAGACTGTATATTCTACATTTCTATACTAAGTAACTGTAAATCTTGTATGGCTGTTTCTTACAACATAAGCCAATGCCAAATGATGGCATAAATTAAATGTAGAGCTCAATAAAAACAATTATAAGGGGCACCAAGATGATGTAAGGCCCAAGATAACCCAGGAGACCCCAGACTCAAAAGGGATCAGATTCCAAAGACTTACTCACTCCAAAGGAGTGTCAGCTGGATGCAAATGGCACCAGAGTCTACAGCCACACCCCGCCCAAGCATTATGGGCATTTTCTCTCATTGCACATGAACATTCAACACAATAGTTATCATAACTGTACATAACATCTGTTCCCCCTGCTAGGTTGTAAGTTCCATAAAGGCAGACACCACATCTGCTTTATTCACTGCTACATTACCAGCATAACACCTGGCACTCAATATTTGCTGGATAACAATGTATAGAAAAATGAATGAATCACAAATTTTCAGACACTCTTTCATCAATATTTTTTTCTCACACCCATGTGTTTGCTAAGAACTGGGTGGCAGAGAGCTGGAGGATGTGGTTTCTGAGGCAGATACTCTGTACTGCCAGTTAAAGATAGATCCATATGCTTTGAAATCTGCCAAGAAAAAGGTAGGGTTGTCACTTTTTTACAAAATGTGGAATCACAATCAGGACACTTGGCTGAACAGATAAGTGACCATCCTATCTCATACAATTAATGTCTAACTCATAAATTCTACTTTTTTTTTTTTTTTTTAAATAGAGACAGAGTCTTGCCCTGTCCCCTGGGCTGAAGTGCAGTGGTGCAATCGTGGCTCATTGCAGTCTCTAACTCCTGGGCTCAAGTGATCCATTCACATCAGCCTCCCAAACAGCTAGGACTACAGGTGCATGTGACACCCTGCCTGGCTAACTTTTCAATTTTTTTTTAGAGATGAGGGTCTTGCCATATTGCCCTAGCTGGTTTCAAACTCCTGGCCTCAAGTGATCCTCCTGCTTTGACCTCCCAAAATGTTGGGATTACAGGCACAAGTCAACATGCCTGGCCAATTCTACTTCTTTATCAGCATTTCTCACATTTATCTCCTCTCATTGAGAAGACTGACTCCTCCAAACCCCTGCTTTTGCAAACAGCTTTATTGAGGTATAATTCACACACCACGAAATTTACTCATATATGTGTGCAATTCAATAATTTTTAGAAAATTTACAGAGCTCCATAACCATCATCACAATCCAACTTAGAACACTCTCATCACTCCAGAAAGATCCCTCATGTCCATTCAGTCATTCTCTGCCCCTACCTCCAGCCCCAGGACCCAACAAGTTACTCTGTCTATAGATTTGCTTTTCTGGACATCTGCCTATCATCTTTTGCTGGGACTGCTCTTATTGCCCCCAAAACACACCTCTGCCTCCAGCATAGCCCATTTCCATCCATCCTTTCTACTGATTTCTCCAAAAAGTATAACAGATTGTGTCTCTGCTCTTCAATAAAACCCTTCAGAGGCTTCCTGTGGCCTGTAAGATAAAGTTCAAGCTCTGACATTCTAAGCCTTTACCATTTGCCTCATTTACCACCTCGAGTTCCAGATACGCAAAATTACTTATATTTCCCAAGAGATGTGTGCCTTCATGTCTTCAGACATTGGACATATTGTCTTCTCTGCAGGTTTGCATTAAAAAAAAAAACAAAAACTCCCACTTTTCCACTAAGACCAACTCAATTGACCCCTTTTTCCTGAAGATGTCTCTGATCAATTCTGCTCACTTACTTCTTTAGGCCATCACTGCACTTCTATTATGGCATTCATTATCCTGCATTATAATCCTTGTTTGCTTTTCTTCTTCTTTCATTAAACTGAAAGTTCCCTGAAGACAAAGATTGTCTATTCATTTTGAGGCTTTGATGACTAATGACTGACACATACAAAGTGGTCAACATGTTTATTCAACTAAGAAATAAGCTAGTAAGTATTCTTGCTTTCCTTCAAAGGTGATGTTATCTGAGTGATATTTTACAAGTTGGGGGTAAAATCCATTCTGGATATTGACTCTCATCAGTTCCAATCAGTCCTGAAGTGTGCTTGTCCTGTGAAGGTTCAGGGGTCCAAACCTGGCCTCACCCTAGGAAAATGAGTGCTCACACACAGAGTATCCGCACAGGAGGAATAAGAAAAGCATCCTAAGAGTTTCTAGGTGAGAGATCACATTCCCCTGAAGAAGACTGGGAATGGAATTCTGAGGAGCTGACTGCCCAGATGAGCAACAGTAAAAACAAGCATCTCAAATTTTTACTGCAGTTGACAAGTATTTTTCCAATTGCAATTTATCTTCTTTGTACTCACAAGCAGTCTGGATATAAAGTCTCTTTTAAACTTTTCAAATTACATGTACAGAAAAAAGGCTAAAAGTTAACTAAACGACTAAAACTAAGATAAAAGAGACTAAATCTTAACGTGGTTGTCTCTGGGTGGCAGAATTATAGTAATGCTTATTCTCTGCATTTCTGTAAACTTTATATAGCAAACATGTATTACTTGTATCATTTGAGGGGACAAAAAGTTCAAAAAAGAACTTCTGAATTCAGCTCTAGGATTTTAACCTCCAACTCACTGGTACCAATGCCAAAGGATGGAAGGTTCTTGAATGCCTTCATTATGCACGGTACATGCCGAAATGCTGTTGAGTTTTTCTCTTTAATTACTGAGGTCATCCTTATAGTTCATGGTACTTAAATATTCCCCAACAATATCAGTCTAAATGGACTGGGCTTTCCTCGCCCTTCTTTACTTCTCCCTCCTTCTCACAAATATTATCAAGTGGCTATTACGCGCCAGGCCCATGGAGCCAAATTAGAGATAGCCTTTGCCTTCAAGCCAAGGAAGACAGACCACTTCATAAACACTTAAGATAAAACTAAAGTGATAAGGGAGAGCATCAAACAGGTGACAGTCTACTGGAAAGAGTCAAAGTCTTTGCAAATATTATTTCCAATGGTAGTAGAATGCTCCTACAATCATACATTTTTAAACTTCAGAAGAGGCAAGTGAGAGAGTAGATATTTTCAGAGGAAGTTAGTGACATATTCATGTTTTGTGTAAGTTTTTAAATGAAATCTGCTGTGAGCATTAAAGGTTTGATGAATTTTGTTTTGATGAATTTTGCTTTGACTTCAGAAACAGTTTGGCCATTCATTATTTGTGATTTATTCTAAAGGATGTAAGATTATTTTAGTTATAAACCACTTTGACAGCCAACGGGAAAACTTAGTATTCAACAAACTGAGAAGTTTGCTTTGCAAGAAACAGAGCAAGAATATCCCGACTTCTCCCTCTCAGGCTAGCAAATATGTCATTTTTACTTCAGTCATCCCAGGCTCCAGCTGTTCCTGGCTCCCAGGCCAGAGGCAGCCATGTGGCATGCCATACAAGTGACCAAACAGAATTCCAGACCGAAATACAGCACAGCCTTGCTGCACATGACTTTGTTCAATGAGGAAACCTAGAATTTACTGGCAA